GATAGATAGATAGATAGATAGATAGATAGATAGATAGATAGATAGATAGATGATAGATAGAATAGAATAGAATAGAATAGAATAGAATAGAAAGAGAGGTAGAATAGATAGAAAGAGAGAGATAGGAGAGAGAGAGAGAGAGAGAGAGAATAGATCAAGGGTCTTCCAACTTGGCACATTTGAGACTTGTGGACTTCAACTCCCAGGATTCCTGAGCTAACATGACTGGAGGAGGAATTCTGGGAGTTGAAGTCCACAGGTCTTAAAGCTGTCAAGTTTGAAGACCCTTGCCATATAAACTTCACTGTTCTAAAAACAAGCCATAGTCGAATGCTAAATTTGGCCCTTGGTTCCTTTTTCTGCTTGAGCCAGGAAAGGCGTCTTAACGCATGACTTCGCATGCTTTCGAACAATGCACGGGGCAAGGAAGGGACCCCGCCAAGATCTTGGGTCTGTGAAACTTCAGACTTCTTCATGTGTTGTTGATTTTAAAGTTAGAGAGAAATCCAGAGATGCAATCAGGGCAGACTCGTTCCCAAAGCAAACACACCATTCTCCATGGTTGTTTACATGCTTTCCCTTCCACCTCATGCTGTAAAGACCATTTCCCATGTCTGCTTCGCTTCCTGTCAAATTCTACAGACGGGATTTTGCAGGAATCCAGCCCGTTTGAGAAGATTCAAGGCACACCCTTGTTGCATCTTTCCAGAAAGCATGCCTTATGATGATTTATTTACTTTCCAGGAAGGAATCGGGTCACCCTGCCATTGTCGGTCAATCTGATCTTAAAAAGTCTGATCTAGATTCCTTTTGCCAAATTGTTGTGAAGATTTAGTGATAAAGAAGGGAACAGCTGGATTTCTTTAAAAGGTCTTCCAAAGGAGACAGGAATAAGGGACCAGGAATAAGATTTAAGTTGCTTTTTGCTGAAAGCTTTGCCCGCCAATCAAATCAAGCATTGAAAAACTTCAATTCTTTGGCATGGCTTGAAATTTAAAGTGATTTCCGTCTTCAAAACAGCTGATCTTCCTCACGTGGTCTCCTTTTTCCCCTCTAAGGTAAGAGTCTCCAAACTTGGCAACTTTTAAGACTTGTGGACTTCAACTCCCAGAATTCCTTAGCCAACATGAGGAATTCTAGGAGTTGAAGTCCACAAGTCTTAAAAGTGGTCAAGTTTGAAGAACCCCTGCTCTAAGAGTGATCAAGGAGAAGATTTGGGGTAAGCATTTCTTGCGTGACGAAGCATGTGAGTCACTTTTGATGTAGAAAGAAAGTTTCATTATTCGTGGAGAAAGTGCCTTATCCTGGGGATCTGGTTGATTAATAATAAACAAGCAAGCAAGCCAACAAACAAACCTTAGAAACATTTTGTGGTGTTCTTTTTTTGGCTGAAGATCCTAAGAAATCAGGACTGCAAGAACCAACTTCTGAAACAAATATCTAGACTCCCATCTACCCCAGATTTTAAAAGGAACAGAAACTTCCAAACTCCGCTGATGTTATCTAATTCGGGATTCAGAAATTCACCGGTTTGCCGGCCGAGGTATTTCAAAACAGGAGAGATAGCAGCCTAGAAACGGATAAAATTGGTGCTGCGGATTCCAGTTTGTGGTGATCGATTGTGTTTACTGAGGGAGAAAGGTTATCACATTCTCTCCAGAGGGGAAATTCACTTTTGTGAGAAGTAGCTCTGAAAAGGGTTGTCGATTAAAACCAGTGAGATAACGCAGAATTGGCACAGGAAAAGAGGGAGATGAACTTTGGTCTCGGGAGAGAGTGGGGTCAATCCAGAACAAAACAAAAAAAATCAATTTCGGATTAGGGTGATAGTGTCAGAGCAATAATACCACGCACGAAATACAGTTTTAATACAAGTTGTATCTACAATGGTTTGAACTGGGTTCCACTCTATTTTGGTTTTTTTGGGAGGGTCCACCTTTTAAAATTTCGGGTGTGCTGCAGATTGAAATAGACATAACAGCCAATAGATGAGTCTCTCTGTAGCTCTGGGTTGAACTGTGGGATCCACGGCGCACTCTGATCCTGCTGTTTTCATGCCGATGTTTCATTACCCAGCTAGGTAATATCATCAGTGCAGCACTGAACATGTTATTGATAACAGAGAATATTTATAGTCCGGGGTTAAATTGTGGTGCGCTCTCTAAGTTTGCTGGTTTTCTTGCAGACATTTCTTTATCAAACTAGGTAACATCATCACTGCTTTAAGGGAGAGTGAAGAAAGAGAAGAGGGGGAAATGACTGTGGGATCCTTGGTCCTCTCTGAGCTTGGTGGTTTTCTTGCAGACGTTTCATGACCCAACTA